AAAATCTTCCCTTTCAGAGTATTCTCATTCAGTAAATAGTCCCCTGCTGTGAGCTTCCTAGGGGATGCTTAGGTGAATGATGAGGGTGGGGCTGGGTGGTGGAGGATCAGTGTAGCTGGCCCACTGAAGAGGCTACCTAGAACCAGGTAGCTGAGTCCATCTTACCTGTAGCCAGGGCAGCAAGGCCTGCTAGGAATGCTTTGGGTCTCCCTTTAGTTAGGTGGGACAGCTAATAGCAATTCTCCAATCCTTTTTTTCATCAGTGGGATTTGGGGCCAACTGGTTCTTACTTTTTTCTGTATTAAAAAATGAATAAATGTTATTAAAAATCAGTGTAGCTACTGTACCTCTAAAATTTCCAAGACAGCCTCGAGTTCAAATATTATATCTCTTTGATCTCGCATACCATAGAAATATCCCAGAAATCCTGACAGTGTGTTGGAACCTAAATTTTCTTACCTACCTGGAAGTAGTGTCATATCTCAAATCAGACCTCAGTTCTCAGTTTCTAGGAAAGAAAACATATTCAAAATTTCCATGTCTAGTAAGAGCATTCATCTTTTTCCTTTCTTCTCTGAGAATACCATCCCAGATGCTCAGACTAGTAATACATTAATTTTCTTCAGGAATCTGAGGATGCAAGCATGCCTTTATAGTGTTGTATGAGTCTGTCAATCTCCAAGCTAAGAAAGTGGCTTACTAGACACTAAGAACACTCTGGGGCACCCATTGTATCCAGACACAGGGGATCACTCCCTGAGTCATCATCAGTGATAGATCCTGCTAAGGTCTGGCTTCAACCAAGGCCACTGGTTTCCATTCCTGTTCCAGAATCTTACCTTTTTTTGGCCCTTCATCTTATCACTTGTTGGCAACTACTGACTCCTAAAGCAAAGGCAAGATATTTTATTGATGACATTGTTAGAACTTCTGGATCAAGCTTCTCCTGAAGGCAGGCCTATCGTTCTATTTTGCTGCAAGCCAATAAGTCCCCCTTTTTGTTTAAGAGTAGTCAAGGTGGGTTTGTGTTGCAATATATAGATTCATAAGTGATAGGCCATGCTGAAGGCAGTCCTAGGTCTGTCCCAAGCCTCTGGGCCTAGTGAGGATCCTTATATCTCCCCCTTCCTACTTATTCAAAGATTCCATGAGGAACCATCATGCCTCAGGTCCAAGACATGAGAGTTCCATCCTGCCACCAGCCCTGCTCAGGCCCCTGCCCTGTGTAATCTTCTCTGGCTTCTTGTCTGATGGCTGTGAACTAACCTTCTGATGACAACCGCCCACTGTGTCATTGACTAGATTTGTCTGGGAACCATACTGAAATGAGCCTGAAGTTGAGAAGTAATGGGCTCACTTGGGGAGTGGTAACAGCAGAGGTTGGGAGTGAGGCAGGGGCTGACAGGCTCCATAAGTGAGACAGGGAAAGAAACAAAGGCACACATGGATTGGTTTCTCAACAGAAGTTCTTCCTCCTGAGCTATCTCTGTGGGGCCAGCAATTCTGAACCTGTGGTCTCCTTTCTTCAGCATAGCTGCTACAATTGTGCAACAGGGAGAGAGAGAGCAAGAGACAGCGCAACTACTTGGAAAATCATTTGTCATTATCTAGTAAAGGTAAAGACGTGTATCCTATGACCCAGCAATTTCACTTCCAGGCATAAACCCTGGAGAAAAACATGCATATTTACACCACGATATACATACCAAGAATGCTCATTGCAGTATTGCTTATAAGAGTCAAAACCTGGAAACAACTCAAATGTTTAGCCACAGAAATACGGATAAATAAACGTGACATAGCCATGTGGCAGAATACTATACAGCCATGAAAAAGAATACACGACGGATATACACTACAACATGATTAAATCTCATAAACATAACTGAGCAAAAGAAGACAGGCACATAAAACCCCCAGACACGATTCTATTCATGTAAAGCTCAAAACAGGCAAAATAAAACTATTTTTTTTAGGGATGTAAACTTAGATGGCAAAACTAAAAGAAAAGAAAGTAGATGCTGTAAGTCTAAGGGAGAGGGAGAGTATGATCAGGTAGGGACATGCAGGGGTCTTCAGTGTGCTGACAATATTTTATTTCTTGATGCGAATGGTGAGTATATGGACATTTCCTTTATAGTTATTTATTAGAATATGTAAATACATGTTCTATGTACTTTTCTGTATGTATGTTAATGTTCATCATTTAAAAAGTAGAAGAGGAAGAGGACCTCATTTTAATAGGAGCTTGAATGAGGGTCTCACCTTCTCATGCTTTCTGCTTCAGAATCCACCATATGGTCCCAGGAGAGAGACACTTCTACTTGGTCCTCGTGTTCCTGTCCTACTCCTGGATCACCCATCCCCTGGGAATAAGTCCCAAGGCCTCCAGAACTGGCAGAAGCAACCTTAACCTTGACTAAGCCTGACTCAGCCATCCCCGATTGCTTCTTCTGGGCTCTTGCATTCCCAAGGATATAATTGAGCATGCTCTGTGGGGAGACAGTCTGTAATGAATTTCCTAGAATGGAAACAAATGAAAATCAAAATAGTAGTGCCAGATTGTCGGTGAGCATCACAGCTCAGGATTTGCTCTGATACGCCTGAGCCCGGGCTGGTGCCTAGCATGTACGTCTCATGTCTAATTTCCTCCTCCTCAGATTCCTCTTCCTCTTCCTCTGCTCATGACACTAGTGTGCATGCCAGCTCTCTGAGTTAGACAGGAAGGTCATGTTTTGCTTAGGCACTTTCTCACCAAGACCATTTTTGAGCGTTTGGAGTGTTTGTCTCTGCAGAACTTGGCTAGCAGCCTGGCATAAAGCAGGGCTCAGTGACTGGCTGGTATTTGCACTCTGATGCTGAGACTGAGAAGACCACACTGTTCCTGAGGAGAGCCTAGAGTGATTTGTCTCCAAAGTCCGTGGAAGCTTTGTTCAAGGTGTTCAAGGTACTCGAGTCCCTGTGTTTGGGGCTTGAGGAGTAAAAAACCTTAGTCTCTGGGATGCTGGCCACCTGATGACTTGCTATGCAAATAAGAGCTCAGACTTCCCTCTAGATCTCCCTCCTTTGTCCCCAGCAAGGCAGAGTCAGAAAACCTGCACTCAGCAACTTCACTAGGGATTCGTAGAGGTTGATCCAAGCCGTCAAGGTGGCCAGGGGCTGCCAAGAGACGTTGGTGCCTGCTGAAGATTTCCAGTAATGGATCCCTTGATACATTGTCCCCAGTCCAGGGTGTACACTCCAGGCAAGGGAACTACATGAACAAAGGCACAGAAAGGTGAGGGGCATGGAGACCTTGGTTGCTGCCCCCTGTGTCCGCTCACCTGCTTGAAGTCTCTTTTTCCTTCCCTTGGCCTCAGAGGTCACTGTTTCCTGGGCCGATGGATAGAAAATCTCAGCTCAGATTAAGGACCTTCCCTTCAGATGAAGCTTGTAAGTTCCTGGAATCAAACACTCTTGGTGAAACCAGAGCTCGGAGAGGGCTCAGAGCAGCCTAGGCAGCCTACAGAAAAAAGGAAGGGATGTAGGGACAGGCAGAAAGAAGTCAGACGGAGCATCTATCATTGACTGCAAATAGAAGCCTCAGTTTGTGGTGCAATAAAATCACCGTATATGGCTTGGAAGGAAATTCTTTGCAAGAAGCTGCATGCAAATAGGTCATCAAGTAATGGCAAAAATATGCAGTCAAATGGAGGTGCCTCTGCAGAGTTTCTGTGTCTCCAAGGGCTAAGTAAACTCCAGGAAGCCATTAGGTCTTAGGGCTTCATGCCACAGAAGACAGAGGATAAGAGATACTTCCTCTGCCTCACAGCCCAGCCTCCTGTATCTTGCTCGCCTCCTCTCCACTGGGACCCACCCGGAGTCTGACCAGCATCCCTATTCCCTGTTGTTAAGATCAGGCAGGGACTCAGAGATTGCCTGAGATACTTTCTGGTGACTAATGCAGTACTTGAACAGGAAACAGACTGGAAAGGGCTTAGGAGAAACTATAAATAGCCCATGTCCTAAAAAAAAAAATTAACTTGGAAAGAAATGGAATTAACACACTGGAAGGAGAACAAGGAGATTATAGGCTCCAAGCAAGACCAGCCATTTCTCCTGGGAAATGAGCTTTTCTTCCAGATGGAGCTCTATTTGTCCTTTGGAGGAACCAACTCTATCCTGTGTGCCCTGCTCCACCCTGGGATTGACTAGCCAGCCCGGTCTACCTGCCAATATGACTCTCTGAATTGTCTGTAGTTCTGGGAATCACGTTTTGTAGGGTTCATGTGTGGGTGAGTGTGTGTATGTGTGCGGGTGTGTGCACGTGGTGGGGGGTGGTCACTGAGGCTCTGGGCTCAAGGACTATAAATGGTTTCCTTTTTGGTGAAGTAGAGAATTGAAAAAGTGTTAGAATATTCCTTCTGCTTGCCTCAGTTTCCCCCCTTCCACTAGGCTACAGCAAAACTCTTCTATGGTGAACCCAGTGAGGACAGAAGAGAATAAGGTAGGAGAATTAGCCTTTGGTCAAATCCCAGCCAAGAACGCTTTTGCTGAATAACCTGGAGAAGATACTCAACTTCACTAAGACTCTTACCTTTTCTATGGAGAGGCTGGTCTAGTTCAGTAGACTTTAAATCTTTTTCTTTTATTTTTTCAAAGCTGTATAACATTTCTCCAATGGAAATCACAAGAACGAGCAGAGATGCTCTAGTTAAGGTGAGGGCCCCACACTTGTACACACCACTGTCCTCCTGATAGCTGCTGAGAAGCCACTATAGAAGCCCAGGGCTTTCACAGAATACCATTTGAAAACCACTAGACTAGAGCTTGACAAGTGTGGCTGGCCATTCAGAAGATCTTGTTCATGGTCCCTTTTCTCTTTACCTACATGTACAGGCTGGAAAGTTAAAATTGAAAAGTAATACTAAGTGATGGAAATGTAACTAAAGATATCAAGCAAAACAGAAGAAGGATTTATATCTCACGAGCCCCAGCAAAACTTCTTAATATCCTCATTAGATGTTGGGATAGACTGATTGCAAAAACAGCCACAATTCTCCACCCATCTCAGTATCCATGCCCTCTGTAACGTGACTTTGTAGCTCCTCTCATCAAAAGATAAAATACATTTCCCCACTCTCTGAATATACACTGGCCTTCAGATTTGCTTTGAACAATATTAAGTGGAAATGATAGTATGCCATTTCCAGACTTAGGTCTTAAGAAGCCTGTGTCTTTTATTCTGTTAACCCCCTGCTCCTGCCATGAGAAGAGGCTGGGTCAGCCTGATGAGAAATGAGAGATCACATAGACAGACAGAGCTAAGCTGTCCCAGCGGAGGCCACCCCAGATCAGCCAGCCCCTAGCCTCTCTGCCAACTGACTGAAAATACATGAGCAACTAGACTCATGAGAAATAATATATGGCAGTTGTTTACGGCATTAATTTTGGGGTAGTCTATTTCTGTTCCGGATATCTATTGCTGAGTAACCACTACCCTGAAATTAGTGGCTTAAAACAATTTGTTATATACTATTTTATTATGATCTTCTATGACCCTGTGCATTGATTAGTCTCATCTGGGCAATTCTCACTTGGGGTCCTTCATATGATTATAGTCAGACGTCAGCTGGGGCTGCAGTCATCTGAAAGTTCATGTAGCCTGGGCATCTGAGATAGCCCATGCAGACGGCTGGTGCTTGATGCTAGCTGTCATCTTGGGGCTCAGCTGGGACTACTGACTGTACATGACCTTTCCATGTGGCTTGGCTTCTTACAAGATGGCCTTTGGGTTCCATGAGGCAGAAAGAGGAAGTTGCTGGGCCAGTTAAGGGCTGTGCTAGCTCTGTTATGGCATCACTTCTTCCACATTTTATTGGTCAAAACAGTCACAATATTCTCCCATATTCAGATAGGTAAAGAAATAGATGCCACCTCTTGATGGAGAAATGGCAAGATCACATTTCAAAAGAGATTATTGTTTGGGAGATATTATTGGGATCATCTTTGGAAATAAAATCTACCACAGTAGCACAGCACTATTGTGGCAAAGAATAACGGAGGCAAACATTTTTCTTTTTCATGGTCCCTTTTTTCTTGCAGCACTCCTTTTCATCCTCTCTGGCTCCTCATGTAATCACACAAGGGTTGGTAAAAGCTGAGCAATTGGAGAGGGAGACATGTAGGGCCCTGCTGAGCACTGTCCACCCCTCTGGGCTCAGTGGGAAAGAATGCAGTGATCACTGCCTGCCAGAGGTCAAGAGGGGAGGAAGTGGTTCACCCGGTATGTATTAGCCTAGTACCCTTTACCCCTCCGGACCTCTGTTTCCTCTTTTTCATTTTTTTAAGGGCTCTTCAGTATGGGAATGAGGAAATGCAATTGTCTAATTTCAGAAGTGAATGGATAGAGTCAATGTCAGCCAAGTGCTTTGTCAATACCAGGTGCTGTGGAGGGTAAAATCAGATGATTAACAAGTCCAAGTTGAGATTTTCACTTTATTATTCACACTGTGAGGGTAAAGATATCAGTCTCTGCATTCCCTAGCCAGATCTACCTGTAGGTCAGATGTTTAACTGTCCTGTTCAGTTCTGCCCAGGCCCATGACCCAGTCCTGGGATCCCAGGCCTGACTCATAGTGGGAACCACATCTCTGAAGTAGGAGAGAGAGGTTTTAGATGTGTGTTCATGACCCATGTGCTCCTGAGGAAGCTCTTTCCTTGGGCTCCCACCTACCTTCTCAGCTCTAGCCTTTCTCCAGCCCAGTCCCAGTGACTGAGTTCCAGCTCTAATTCTCACAGGTTTCCCAGTGAACGGGGAGTAGTCCCCTGGACCCCATTTGGCTGGGATTGTAAGGTATTGCTAATTTCTCCTATCTTTCCTCTTGTAAACCAGATCCCATTTCTGAATCAAAAACTACTTTCTGTTTCAATTAGGAGGTCCTCTCAGAAGCAAGATACTGCTGCCCACCTGTGTTCCTGGCAAATGCAAGAGACTCTTCTTGTCAGAGCTCCAACCACATGCCCAGGAGCCCCTGCCAGGTTGACAGCCAGTCCACTTCCCTAAAAACCCTAGCCCCTGCTGCTCCTGCCCTAGCATGCCTTGTAGCTGAGCCCAGCGGGTCATAACAGGAAGCTTGTGGATGCCTCCTATGCTGACTTGGGTTTTGGCTTGCTTTGGCACCAACATCCTGTCTGCCCTATTTCCTATTAAGGGATAACTGGACTGGTTTTTAATTAAGCCCATACCCGGAGAGCCTGGGGGAAAGAGATGGCTTCATAGAACTACTTCAGCGACCATCAGAAAAGGAAGGAGTTCTGGGGAGCTGGGACCAGGGAAGAGGGAGGTGGAACTGAAGTCAGAAGTCCCAAGCGATTCCTTCCTGGATGAAGTAATACTCCAGCAATGTACCTTATGTAGTGGGTAGCTCACTTGAGCATCCGTGCTCACAGGAGTGCCACTCCCTCCCTGTAGTGGCCTCCCCATGCCCACAGCTACGCCCTCTGCACATACACAACCATCCTATCCATCCATTGAGAGGTGGGGATGATCTTTGAACAACATCCTGCAAATGAAGCAAAAGCAAATTATATCCACTGCAATAGATGCACATGATAGCCTATTTGAGCAGAGAAAAGAAAATTTCCAAAGTTTCACTCCTAGAGATACATAGTTTCTATATTCTGGAATTCTTTTTCTTTTAATGTTTAACCAAATTAAACTCTTCTGATCACCAATCTGATGCTCCCTTTGGTCTTTAGCCGAGCCCCTCTTCCCAGCCACAGAGGCCACGAAGTTGCTATGGCAATTCTCTCCCCAGGGCAGGACTCAGGATTTTTCTCTACACCAGACCTCAAAGAATGTGCCTCTCCCTTCAGAGAGGATCCTCATCTGTGGAAGTCGGCCCTCCTCCTCCTTCTCTCCTTCCTCCAAGGGACAAACAATAACACTCTGACTTCTAGATTCATAGGAACCCAGGACGCAGACCTTGGGAAAAGTAGGAGGAGAAGCCTGGGGCCTTCAACTCTCAACCTCCTCCTTTCTGTCTCTTTCTTCCATTGTCTCTCTCTGCCCCTTTCTCTCTTTTCTTTCCTTTCTCCATACCCTCCTCCCTTCTGTAACAGGCAGAAGTGGGTACATGGCACTGGGCCTGGATTCCACAGTCACGGGTAGATAAAGCTCTGCTCGCAGTTCGATCATTGACCGTCTGTGTGGCTTTCATTGAATGAGTCACTTTAGCTCCCTGAGCCTTTGCTTCTCATCTCAAAATGGAGATGATAATGCCATGTTAGAGAGGACAAAATGGGTTCACATGTAATAAGCACTTAACCCAGTGCCCGAAAACATGATAGGTACATACTTAATGGATGTTAACTGACTCCAATCTGCATTAGGTAAGCACCTACTGTGCACCAGATGCAAAGGCCCAGAGAGAGCAAGGCAGAGATCCTTAAACAAGCCTTCATTGTAATCTTTTTATAATATATTGTAACGATTTGTTTCCATAAAATATGTAAGGGAATGGAAGGAGTTTCCACTGCCAGGCATTCCGGGACCAGGTTTTAAGGACTTCAGTACACTTAAAAACACAGAGTAGCCTGTGGCTGGAATGAAAAGTGGAAACCAGATCAAAGTCAAAACCCGGTGGCAAAGCATGTCTCCATTTAGTCTGTTCCGCTAATTGATTTGCCTAAAATCTACTGTTTCTCCAGCGGGAAGCAATCTCCGAAACGGGAGGAAGTTACATGTCTGATGTTTCTGCCCTTCTGTTTGTGGAAGACAGCAAGCTCAGACCTCTGCGCAGGCCTGTGAAGTCCCCTGGAGCCACCAATGTCGGATTATCATAGGGTCCTAGCAAATGCCTGTCTG